GACACATCCACACTGTTTGTTTTCTTTGTATTTCATTTATTTATTAGCATCAGTAACGAATATGTCATAATATCGATCGTAAAGAAGTTTTTAAAGCCAAATGAAACTCTTCAGGAATTCGAAATTGATTAATTAGTCTTCGAGATTATTTAGGTACCTACCATTTGTTACGTGTTTTTTTTTTTTTAACTTGCATAATCGAGTTATAAAGCTGGGATTGCTTGCGTCAGATAACTGGAGCAAGGAATGGCTTGTTAATTTTAACTGCTCCAAATCAAAACTCCTCTCTCTTAATCGTCTGACAGAATCCTTTTTATCCTTCATCAGCATGGCTAATGCTAACCTCCAGGGGGAGTGACTTATTGCGCCTTTACAGACCAACTTTTTCCGCTTAAATGGATTGGGGTGATTATATTAAATCAATTGTTAAGTCTGCCACTAGGAAAATTAGTTTACTGTATCGTGCGAGATAATTTTTCTCCCCTGAATCTATCTTGCATATTCGTTCTTGCATTGAATATTGTTGCTACATTTGGTCTGGTGTTCCTATTATGTATTTAGAGATTCTTGATAAAATCCAAAGAAGAATCTGAAATGTCATTGGCCCTGATCTGGCATCTCGTAGGGTTACTTCCCTGTACCTTTTTTATAACTACATTCATGGTAATTATTGTAATGAACGTTCCTGTATGGGACCTAGACTTTATGAATTTAAGCTTACTATTAGATTGGCGGCAAGGTCTAGTCATTTTACAGTTTAAATAGCTAGACGTAACCGTTCTATGCTAACAGATTCTTCTATCGCACATCTCGCTGGTGGAACCCTTTTCTAGTTTCTTGCTTCCCAGTCGACTTTGATCTTCAAAAATTTAAATGTAATGTCGATCGTTATCTTCTGTCTTCTTAATTATTGTTATTTCATTTTTCTCTCTCTTTAATAGTGTGTGTTTTGTTTCTTCTCATATTCTCTAACACTCAGTAATTTCTGGCGTCTTTGTGACTTTATTGTCTTACCTGGGGTGAAATGATTAAAGAAAAAACAGATATCAGTCTGGTCATGAATATTGGCACTCTTGTTATGTTTTATCATTAATTACTTGATTGGTTGACATAGTTCTTAGATGATACTTAGATTATAAGAAACTGAGGAAATGTAATTGAGGTCAATGAAAGACCACTATTCAAGGAGATAGAAGCTGACAAATAACGTTACATTTGTATTTTTGAAAATCGTAACTGACAGGAAAACAAGAAGCTGGGAAAAAAAGTTCAACAGCTGAGAAGTGCGAGAGAAGAAACTATTAGAATAGTAAAAAAAAGAAAACCGGACCAAACAAAAGAAACTTAACGGTTGACCCTAGAATTGAATTAGTTATCTCCCTAATGTACCCTCATAATCTACACTATACAAAAGAACTAATTTAAACAGATATACTGTCTGCATTTTTTGTTGGTATGAACTATAATAAAATATATATAAAATATTTTTTACAAAAATGTACTGCTGGTATAAAAAATCTATTTTTACACTTTCATGGTGTTTTGACACTATTTTGTGATGAACTATTTACCCATATCTGGGTCAGGGTAGACCTGGGAACACTAGTAATTAAGAGATGGTTCCACGCTTCTCAAAGCCCTCCTGATCAAAGGCCTAGATGTCGGATGTAGTTTATCGGCTTACCCAGGACGCGGATGTAGTTTATCGTCTTATCCAGGACGCCTCATTTGAAAGACCACTATTCAAAGTGATAGGTGTCAAATAACGTTACATTTCTATTTTTGAAGATCGTAACTGACAGGAAAGCAAGAAGCTGGAAAAAAGTTCAACAGCTGAGAAGTGCGAGAGAAGAAACTATTAGGATAGAACTTACGGTTGCATTTATCAATTAAACAATAAAATGATGAAAGCTACCTTCCAATCTAATACTACACTTAAATTAGTGAAGTCGGACGACCAAAGAGGAAAGCTCATCAGAACAATTGCACTGAAAATATTTATTGAAGAGAAAATAAGTGATTGTGGCCGAGATGCTATGTCAGGTACCAATAACAACATTGCTGATTCTTCTTTAGGTTTTATGAACAATCTCTAAACACATAGAAGTACTTGACCATAAGCGGCGGCTATTTTATTGTTTAATTGATAAATGCAACCGTAAGTTCTATTCTGAGTCGACTTGGTAATTGAAACATTCGTGTATTTCTGTCTGGCTTAGTGTTCTTGAACCTAAATTTCGAATGTTGATTTTCAAGATGTAGAGTTCCTCACTTCTCATTTTAATATGTTTCCTTATCAGGTAAACTAAATCTTGATAATTCCTGCTGTATCTTTAATTAATTATTCTGTCTATCACAATAACGAGCTCTCCAGAGAAAACCTAACTCTATAAAACCGTAATGGGTTTTATTTATAGACTACCCGTTGGATCACTGACGGTTCAGGTTATAAAACATTGACGTTGATTTCAACATATTCTATTGTAATGAAAGTTATTTTTATTATGATTCAGTTAAATATTTCACTTCGTTCGTGTCATCATTTGTCTTGTTTGCAAGTTCATGCTTAACGTTTTACTGATTGTTTACAGTATTTAATAGGAATAGAACTCCCGGGATAAACTTAACTTTAAATCCGATTAGCTTAAAATATTATTTTAATATGCCAGAAAATATTTTTAAATCATATTCACTTGAAAACATTTTTAAATATGCAACAAAATATTTTTTTAAATATTTAAAATATTGTTTGTTTAAAGAAAGCTGAAATATAAATAATTACTCGATAAACAACTGGGCAAAACAGCAAAGCGGCATCTCTTTGTGTCTGTCTCTAGCTTTAAAATATTTTAATTAGAAAAATTGTCTGTTTGAAGGAAGTTAAAATAAAAATACTTATTGTATAAACAACTCGTAAATCATTATGCATCGGACTTACGCACCACACAAGCACGCACGCAATTACCTTTTATTTGTATGGATTGCAATGGCTTTTTCATAACGTTATTGGAGTGTTTTCTCAAAGCCCTTTACAGTTTTTAATAAAGAGTAGTCTTTCTCCTAGACTGGCTACCAGCCAAGACTAGATAGCTCGTTGCTAGTGAGGTAAAAAGCAATGGAATCATGCATTTTCCCAAGTGCAAAGGTGAGAGAAAAAGACGAGGCTGGAATATGAAATCGGCTCGCCGTTATGATAGTAATATTATATAATAATGACATTTTTAGATAATGTGTTTTCACTTTATTTATTATATTATTCTTCATGTTGTTTTTATTCCAACACTCTTGGTTGCTATACTCATCAGTCGTTATACGAAACTGCAAATATCCGATATAAAAAGTAACTTTCGACGAGATAAAACTTAACAGCTTGCAGTCCATCTTCTGAAGCCGATGTATCGCCTATGAAAGCTAAGCCCCAGAAATGTGATTTTTATATCACGTCTTCCTTTCTTTCTTTCTTGAGCTGTCTATGATTGACCCAGTGTTATAATAAAAAGCATGTAAAACTCGGCCATTTCTATCGCCATTTCATGTTACAAAAATATATAATGGGCTAATTCTTGCCTATCCAACCAAGCCGGTGGTGGCGGGGAGTGAAAATTAATCTTATGCGCTCAAGCATTATTAGGGTTTGTCCTTCCAGGTGAGAATGAGGCCAAGGTCATTACCCGTCGCGTGTGGCGTCCCCAAATGGATAAGGGCCGAGATTACTTGAGTAGGGTTTTTTCCCGGTTCACTTATGCGTGAGCTACCAACCAACTCGACCTTGTGTCACATTCCGCTCGAACGGGGGTGCGGTTAAACTGCTAAAAGGGCCCAATTCGTAGAAGGCTGTCGTGTTACTTAGCAACCATTAAGAAAGCTCGTAAAGTCCCAATATTTTAGTTCAGTTTTGCAGCGATTGTGTAGAAGGAATGATTAATAATTTCCTTGTTATCATGTTGGAAAAATGGTCGCCTCTTTGTAGCGTTCCAGAAAGTACCTGTCTCGTCCTATAATTTATTCTTGCAAGAGTAGGTTTAGCGTATAAAATAGGTCATTGCCACGATATCTGGTCTGGGGCAGTACAATCTTCACTATCTAACCTCGATAGGGTTCAAAATAGTTGACACGGACTTGTGAGAGAAAATTTATTCTTCACTCTGTGACCTCTTTCGCACTGACACAATGTCGCAAGCCTATTTCGATGGCTATGAGCTCCAAATTTCTTTTCCACCATTTCAGACCTTAGTAGCCAGGACTCGCCATTCTACATCCACGGAGTTGGATTACACACGTTTTCATATTTCAGTTGTAAGTAAGAAGTCCCACTGAATCAGTTTTCCCCAAAACTGCTACTTTGTAGAAGAAACTCCCACGTTTTCTTGAACACTACAATGTTAACCTCTTCAAGCCAAGTGTCAATTATTAACTATCATCCTTATCCTTATAATCTTAACTTCATTCTATTTCCTCTTACATAAATATAACACCATTCATTAGCCCTCTACTTTGAGTGACGATTGAACCTTGTATTGTTCGCAAAAAGAAATTTTCGTAAACAGAGTTTTCTGATTTTTCATATTAGTACAGATTATTCCGATCAGGCTAATTGCTAACATACCCAAATTTGCATTCACTGAAGCAACGTGTTTATTTCTCTAACAATGTCGGCTTCGGCTGGAGTAATTTCAAAATAATACCACAGCAGTCACCCACCAGCCACTATCTCTCCTTCGGCACAGGGTCATTACCCGGCGTCTGAGGTGTCCTCAAAAGCGCAAGTTCCATTTTTTTTTTCACGGTATTACTGTTAAACCTAATTTAAACATCGACCTTGTGTCACATTCGGTAGCAACGTGGGTTGGCTGAAAACTCCATTATTTCTCCATCAACCCCTTTTCGTTCCACCCATAATCCTAACTTTCTGACAGGCGGAAATTGAAATTCACAAATTAAAAGTAAAAACTCATTATAATCACTTTACCTTTTTTATTTTCATTTTTTTTTTTTTTCAGGGTATGGTTGTCAATGGCTTTGTGAATGTTGTCATCTCAAACATCGAACGTCGATACGATTTATCAAGCACTGAATCAGGGACCATCGCCAGTTGCTACGACATTGCCTCTGTCTTGTGCCTCATTCCCATCAGTTATTTTGGTGGTCTGGGACGGAAACCTCGCTACCTGGGTATCGGTGTTCTCGTGATAGGCATCGGTTCGTTTGTGTTCGCCCTTCCACATTTCTTAAGCGGCAAGTACAACTATGTCACTACGCACAACGTCTGCACGGGGAATCCTGTCAACGGCAGTAGCTTATTGGTGTGCACTCCGGAAACTTCGATCAACAGCTTATCCCAGTATAAGTACATGTTCTTCTTTGGCCAACTCCTTCATGGAGCCGGGGCATCGCCGCTTTACACTCTTGGGGTTACCTACCTCGACGAGAATCTCTCAGTGCGAACGTCACCGGTGTACATAGGTAAGATTTTTTTTTTTTTTTTGCTTTCTCTGTTTTTTAATGCTTTTTACGTATTATGATAATACTCTCTTTCTTGGACAGATCTCCCAAGACTATTGCTCACATTGTAAATTGTTCTCCAAAGGTTTCCGTCGTTATCATTAGAATTCAGATCTTTAAAATAGTTACTATCTTACATAATGGCAGAAGAACTGACCATAAAGGAACAGGTTTCAGGAAGACAGATGGCGACTGAAGTTGCATTGAAATGTTTGAAGATTGTTGGTTTCAGGGGAATAAGAAATTGGAAGGGAGTTACACAAGCGAGAAGTGTGAGAAAAGAAACTATAAGAATAAAACAGATCAACGGTAAAATGGTGAGACCTAATTGCCAATCTAGTAGCACGCTTACATTCATGCAGTCGAAGCACTAAGGAGAAAAGCACATCAGAACAGTTACCACAAAAATATTTGTAGAAAAGACAAAGGGAAGCCATGTCAGGTCGGTGAGAAATTCACTGAAGCCGAGATGCCAGGTCAGGATCGTTCACTGGAAATTCACTGATGGAATCCATGTTCTTGCTTCTATAAACATATGTACAAATAATAGGTTATATTACTAGGATAAAATGTAGGTATAATGTTAGGCTGTAAAGAATTGTTGTTTTATTCAACCTTTCTATTTCGTTTAGTCTTTCTAATAACGAAAAGAAAGCGGATAGAGATTCCAAGAAATATTGCTTTGCCTTTATAATGATAACGGGAACATTTTCCTTAAGCACGAGCTGGCATCAAGTTGTCTGAATTTTTTAGATGCCAATGCTGATAGTCGATCAGCTGTCGTCAAGAGGTACGCACTTCACTTAGATTGTAGCGGAGACGGCTTAGTGGTCGAAAGAATGATAAGGGAAAAGCAAGATAGCATACTTGTAAATACTTGGCACTTTCTTCAATGATGTGTGTCGAAAAACTTTTAGGCTCCTAAATGTCCCTCCTGAGTCGGTTATAGATATTTGATATCTTTATAAAATAAATAAATAAACGCGTCAAAAACTATCAAGTTGACTGCAAGAATAGTTCGAAGCTAGCTTTGCTTGTAATGACCACTGTACTGGGTTAAATCCTTGTTAGATATCCGTTCTTTGTAGTTTATGCTAGTTTAAACTAACCCTAGCAAAATGGGTTTGAATGTATGAAATGCAGGCCGTGTTTGACTCTAGAAGAAGAAAGGAAACCCAATACCTTTTATCAATGCAACAGATAATGTCTATAAAGGGTTACCAGATAAGTCAACAGTTCGCGAATTCACACACCATTAAATCTACCACTTTTCTCCCAAGATGTTGGGTAAAACGAATCGGATGGTTACCTGAGGACCAATATTATTAAAAATTGCTGTTCAATAATCTGCTAAATTGGTAAGGCACTGCACAATATTCCATTTAATAGGAAAGGCAGTTTGCATTATTCAAGGTAAATTGGGATTCGCTTAATTGGGAAGGCGGTGAGCAATCTTCCGATGAATTGGGAAGGCAGTTACCAATCTTCCGATGAATTGGGAAGACAGTATGCAACCTTCTGCTTCATTGGAAAGGCAGAGAGCAACCTTACGCTCAATTGGAAGGCAATGTGCAACCTTCTGCCTAATTGAGAAGGTAGTGAGTGACCTTTTGCTCAATTGGAATGGCCTGTACAACATTCAACTCATTTGGAAAGGCAGTGTGCAACATACCGCTTAATTAACAAAATTAACAAAGCGCTGATACCTGGTGCTTCCAGTTCACGGCTGATTGTTCAATGTAAAAAGAAGTTACAAAACTTTTAATACACTTGCCGCTTCGAAAGTAATGCTTCCTGTTTATTTCCATGTAAATTAGAACAGATGCCGTAAGTTCAATCACACTGTTGGAGTGAGTAGGTTTTCGACTAGAAAAAACACTATTTTCCACATTGTTAACTTAATTGGCCAGAGAAAGTGAAGGGCTACCTGAAACCTGTCTTGTCACACACATCACTGTCGCCACTGCGTTATGCACCACCTAAATGTGCTCACATCGGCTGTTTGGTTTTCACAATGTGCAGCAAGCGCCGATGACTGTCAAAAGGTGCTCATTTTTCTGGATGGAAGAATTCAATGACAGTCTCCTGCTCTATAAGCTATTTTTAATATCAGATGCATTTTGCCAGACTGCCGCTCATCAGCCATAGTAGCAAGTCGTTTCAACCTCGACTGCCATGTCTCTATTCCTGAGATGAGATATTATAAAAAAAAAAAAAAAAGTTGAGAGCTGAGGTAAAGGGAGATGACTGAGACATCCGGAAGAGATATGGCACGTGGAAATAGAACAATCTACCCCGCCGGTGTTAATGACACGAGGATGCAAGTGGTTGTGGGGAGTGAAAGAGAATGAGAAGATTTTAATGAATAGAAGTGAGGAGAAAGGATAACAGTGTGATTGTACTTTCGGTATCCGTTGTAGCTTTTATGAAAAGAACAGGCCCCAGGGAGATTAAAAAAAAATGACTATTGGGGTCGCATTTAAATTTTTGAAAAATGTAGGAGGCAGAGAATCAAAAAATCGGAATGGCGTTCCACGGGCTAGAAGTGCGAGTAAAGAAACTATAAGAATAAAACATACGGTTGCATCTTACTAGTTCAACAGTAAAACGGTGAAACCTAATTGCCAATCTAGTAGTGCGCTTAAATCAATGCTTTCGAAGCACCAAATATCATTAAATTAACCAAGCTACCCTAAACTATTTGACCGCCAAGTCTTTCTCTACTGGTATAGTAAAATATGGAAGTCTCCATCAGTCTCTTCTGATAAGTTAACTTCCTCTATTATAGAGGTAAATATTTGGAGCGTCCAGGTAGATTTAAATTTCCTGGCTCTTGTGCTGGGATGATTGCCTTCAGAGAAACAGACAAGAGAGAGAGAGAGAGAGAGAGAGAAAGATGAACAATGTTATCTAGATAAATAAAACAAGTTGGTATAGACAATAGACTAAGAAAGATCAGTTAGAAAACGAACTCACGGTGGAGTAATAGATAGCGGCTTGGATTGAGGAATCGGAGAGCCGAGCTCGAATTACATTCACTTACGTGCTCTTCTTATCCCTCCAGCTATGGATAAATAGCAGGACAGACTTAGGTTCTAGGAGAAGTAACCCTGTGTTTTAAACTGTATATTGCCCTGGCGTAGCATATACTATAAGGATCGTTCAAATTGGCTCCATGATCCCAACTACGTTCGAATGATGATGATTGTCACATGCACGATTATTCCGACATGATAAATATCACCAGCTATAGAAACACCAAAAAACCTGTGTACTATATTAATTCTGCACAAACTCGGGCCTTAATTGGATAATTAAAGTTTAAACACGGAAAACTAAACATATTAACGCTTAACCTTTTAAAATAATTATGTCACAATGAAAGGGACATTTAGATGTGAGTGTCGACGATGCTGTTATTATCTTTTAACTTCCTGTAAGCAATCTCTAACACTGTTGCCCTAATCACGTAAGGGCTTTTTTCGAATGAATTAAAAAGAATGTGTGAATTTGTCTGTCTCTCTCTTTAGAAAGAGATAGTTAAATTTTTAATAATTTTGTTTTTCTACATCGTATATATAATGAGAAGAAGGTGAGGTATGACCGGAAGCTGGAATTGAACAAACCAAAACGCGCTTGCGTGCACTGATATGCGCATTTTTTTTTTCTTTTCACCAGTATATGATGGTCATGCGTTCTATTGGAAATACACAAGAGTATATTTTTATGAGTATGGAAGTATGCTTAAATCACTTCCTATTGTATTTATAGATGTTTATACACTGTTTTAATTAAAAAAAAAAAAAAAGATGCATTGAAAATGCCACGTGTGAGTCCTGCACGATTTAGTATACAACCAGACTATTTCTGTTTATTCTCTATTGTTGCTAAATTAATACTGTCTGGTGACGCCGGGTCATCGGCGAAACATGTCAAAACAAAGCCAACTTCTGTACACATCCGTGTGTGTGTGTGTGTGTATGTTGAGTGAGTGATCAAATGATAGAAGAATAAACATCTAGATTTTTCTCATGTATTTCTGCATTTCTTTTTCAGGAGTTTTTTACACCATGGCAATCATAGGACCTGCCTTTGGATATTTATTAGGGGGGAAATTCCTTGATCTTTACGTCGATATCAATAGCGTGGATACATCAACGTGAGTATTTTACAATTATTATTATTATTATTATTATTGTTGTTGTTGTTGTGGTGCTTTAAAGACCGAAAACAGAATTGCCATGATTGTTCTTAAAGATAGTTAAATAGTTTCTCATTGCCATCTCCAACGTTTTGATTTCAAAATTGTCTTTCGAGACTGGCTACCAACAAAGGCTACAGAACGTTGTCTCTTGTGACGATCCCATTTTCAGCGTTCTTAACAGGTAATCTCAAACCATTATATACCTCGTTCTAATAGTCAAACTGTTTCCCATTTAATATTAAGAGAAGTCTCGAAACTCATTATGATCAAAACAAACCACACTATTGTCAATGTGTCCAAGTACAACCTTACCAGCACTAAACCTGCCAAAGGAAGAAAAACAAACGAGAAAAGAAAGGAAAGAAAACATTAAACGAAAAGAAAAAAAAAAGAAAATACTTCAACATAGGCGATAATCATTCAATGTTTCTATCAAATAGACGAAGACTGAGCAGTAACACTAAACAACAAAACACCACAAAGAGACTCGTTACTCCGAGATTCACGCAGAGGGTTCATCAGATGACAAGAACTGGTTCTTGTCGCCTGACGACATCCATGCGTCAATATATATATTTATATATATATATATATATATATATATATATATATATATATATATATATTACACTTCAAAAGTTTGAAGCCACTCCCAGAATTATCATGAGATGAACTTGACAGAATGAAACCTTTCCATCCAGAAATTGACAAAGAGCTCACTGAAAAAAGAATGGAATCAATTATTAAACTTATACTTTAAGAGATTTTTGCAACTAATGCCAAAATGTTATGTTTCAGTAATCAAGGCTGAAGGAGGATATTTTGACGTGAGCAAAATTTAATCATAAAATGATTTTTTTTTTTCTTTTTGTCTTAATAAAATTTCTAACAAAAGTCATGTCTCACTTTCTTTAATCATATATAATAAATTTCTTTTATTTAAAGTACAAAACAACTACTTGTTGGTCCAAATTAAAAACTTACCAGGGGTGGCCTCAAACCTTTGAACTGTATTTTTATATTATATATATATATATATATATATATATATATATATATATATATATATATATATATATATAACGCTAAATTTAGTGAGCAAATTGCCTGTATTTTCCATCGGTGAAATGTGAAGATCGATAAGAAAAGACTAAAGAAAATATGCCCACACATCAGACAGGTGTCGAACCTATTTTTCATCAGGGAAACCACTTTCAAGCCAAGCGTACCTTAACTAATTTGGCTACGAGAAGCTATCATGGCAAAGAAAAGCTCATTTACCCCGTTCAAGAAATGCACATCTCTTGTTGGGATATTTCAAGACCTATACGTGCTAAATTTATCTTCGTTCCCGAACTGTAAACAAAGTGATATTTAAACAATTCATAATACATTAATCCGCTATTATTTCTTAGTCTTATTTCTATATTGAATGATACGCATTTTATATTAACTGCAATACTGAATTACGCATAACGCCACTGACTTTTTGAATATGTGTGTATGTGGATACATATTTACATCAGTGTGTGTACATCAGACAAAAGAAAGGAAATACAGACAAGTAGAAATGATTATCAATGAATTATGAGTGCGTGTGTATGTTCATTTATATCTAAAATGTTTCCTCACGCTATAGACTTACGCATCGGTAGTACTGTTAGTGGCTTTTTACACCTGTCAGTGTGCGTCTGTGTACAAAGTTTAAACTTTGTGATTCTATGTAATTTTTTATAACTGAAACTTGATTATTTACTATTTTTATTTTCTCAATTGACCCGATTTTTAAGATCTCTTACTTCTAATCCACCATCTCGTGTTTTAGAGAAGAGATATTTTATCTGACGACTTGATCAGCAAGATGGCTATTTTTATGCCGTTCTTAATTTAGACGAAAATGAAAGCACGCGATCACAAACGCACACACTATATTTCTTACTCCATTTTCTAATCAAATCTTCCAAAATCCAAGTCCACGTGAAAATAATATACGCTAGATCTTTACACAATACAATCTGCTCGTCTTTAATTTTCTTCTTTTTTTTTTTCGCTTCTCATTTTTCGTCAAGTTGATCTTTCTGATACAATCTAACCAAACATTCCGAGCTAATGTCTTTCTCTTGCGTCGTTACTGTTCTTGTTTCAATACGGATCCTGTTTCACATGTTTCTTATACTATTTCTTTTTCGCTGCATTATCTCGTGCCTCATTCTACAGCAAATTCATATTCTCTGTTTTCAGTTAGGCTCATTCAGAGAATGTCTTGTACCGCTATATATATCAAGTCTCCTCAGCCTTTCCTCTGTATGAAACAGGTGTTGCTTTAGGGCCTGAATCTTGTTTGTACACACACACACACACACACACATATATATATATATATATATATATATATATATATATATATATATATATGTGTATTTATGTAGCATTCACTCATTTATACATGTTTCATTAAATACCACAGACAAGTGACTGCGATTAAGCTTTTTATTTAATTTTTCTTGAGTTCGGACAAGGGGCATTTGAACTTATGGGTTCAAATGTCCCTTAAGGAACTGTGTTCCTGATCAAACCGAATTCATAAGTAATTACATCGGTCAAACTACTACATGCATATCCAGACGCCTTACGTTGCACCTATCCGACCACGGCTCCATCAGAACTCATTTAAACACACACACAAACTTACCTGACTCCACCCGAAACACACTAGTAGTAAATTCTGACGTTTTAACCTCATCCACATGTAAAAAAAAATATACATATATTAAAAATAATTGAAGTCTTAATAATAATAAAGAAAAAGCCAACACTCAATAATATTAACTATGAACGCGGCCACAATTTGCTGACTGTGTTCGGAAAATAAAACATCCCTACAACTCTAGAAACATATACACAACCTATACATCAAGCTAAAAAGTAAAAATAAAACCATCCTTGATAATGGCTGAAAGTATAGACGAAAGCGCTCGGAATTACAAAACATTTGGACAGTTTCTACACATTCTGTGTCCGGAAAAAATACGTTCGAACACAAGAAAAATTATATAATCGCAATACCTTGTCTGTCGTCTTTAATGAAACATGTATACACACACATACATATATATATATATATATATATATATATATATATATATATATATATATATATATGGGGAAAAATGTATGCCAGAGTGTAAAAAGCTCTTGTGAGAAGGACTTCATCTGACCAAATGTGTTGGTGCGACTGCGACTACACATGCGCAGGAACAAAGGATGGTGATAATTTTAACTTTTTTAATTCTACTAACAAAAGTGATGGAAAGAAAAAGAAAAAGAATCTAAATGAATTCGTCTAGATAAAAAATGTAAATTCCCAGCATTCCTTTTCGTGCGCATGTCTAGTCGCACCAGCATCACAAATTTATTTCGATAAAGTCCGAAAGGACGAAACGCGTCGCAAAAATAAAAGCATTTTCTACTTTGTCGTACATTTTTCCCCAATATTGTTCCTGATATATAAAACATATATCGCTGTAATGGCTGACTGCTCGTATCCAAGTATGATCGTCTGTTAGGGCGGATAACGAATCCCTGTGGCAAACGCCTGCTCAGACAGATTTGTGTATGTTCCACACCCACGGAACCCAGCTGTGGCTATGCAGAGCGGGCCTTGGTTACAGTTTCTAGGAAGGAACGCCTCATCTGACGTGATCAACAATTTGACCAAAGCTAGTACACGCAGACTCTCGGGCACGATGACATGACTCCGTTCTAATACAAGAATCAAAGAAGTATTCCATCTTCCTAAAATCACTGAAACGGCTTGGTTTAACCGTAGATTAGGTTTTCAGGCACTTTCCCATAGTGCCGCAACCCGATATTAAGAATTCACCTCAATGACAAATCTATAATGGAGACGTTCGAACCCAGTTCTCATGTTTGGAACGCATACGATTCGGCCGTGTGTACTATTTCAACAATACTGTCAAAAATGTTAACATTTATGCAATAGTTTAATTACAGTGATTGCATTTTTTTGTATTGAAACCCTCGGTTACGATGACTTGCGACTTCGTGCTAATATAACCACCGGCGATCAAATATGTCTATCCAATTTCACACACAAGTCTTAGGTCCAACCGTCGTATGGTTTTCAAGCACTTTCCAAAGGTGTTGCATGCTGAGATCAGCTCCTCAGTTTAATAAAATCAAAAAGCCTCCTTCCTGACAAATCGACTATGTTAAGATTCGAACCCCGGTTTCATTGTCAAAAAAAAGCAAAAATTCTAACCATCCGGCTACGCGCCCATATTCATGCGATAAAAATATTGTTTTAATGCATTCTATATTTATGGGGAAAATGGCTCAATGTTAGTGATAGAGTACGTGTAAACATAAGAGTGGCCACTGAATTCAGCTACTCGGTGTTGACCTCAGTGTTCACTATTAATAATAAAATAATAAATTTCGATATATATATATATACATATATGTGTGTGTGTGTATGTGTGTGTGTGTGTGTGTGTGTGTGTGTGTGTGTGTGTGTGTGTGTGTGTGTGTGTTAGAGAGGAGATGGGTGCCTCTAACCTATTTGAAAACCCACTCAAAGTATTATGAGGAAGAAAAATAGAAAAGCAACACCATGTCGGATCGACATATAAGTCTAAACGGGCTTATCTGTTTCTTCTACTCTCAGGTCTCCCCACGATTGAAGCCGTCGTAGGACTGATGATGATATTGATGATGATGTGATGTGATGTGTCTGTGTGTATGTATGTGTGTGTGTGTGTGTGTATGATATCCACCCACACCGTATTTTAATCATCCTGGACACCTTTTTTATTCTTAAGGAACGATAACCGGTCAGGTTGTTTTAACGCCTTTTTTTTTCCTTTTTTTTCTTTTTAATTTTTATTTACTGTTTGACAGCAATATTTCTTTCTTTGACTCCATTTCTTCTGTTC